ATTTTAGCTTACCTCGCTTTGTTTCTCTGGTTGTAGCATTGGATTTAGGCTACTATGGTTTAAATTACAGGAGCTTGTAAGTTTCCGAGTTTTTCCTGTTCAAATTTGATAAATCCACTGCTTGGTTTTACACCCAAAGGCATGCACGCTACGCGCTGGCCAGCGGATCTTCAAGGAAGCCCCGAGAAAATTTAGGTAACCGATGATGTTTTTGATGCAGTCATTGCAGCTCTCCTCCAAACCTTTCTACTCCGACATCAAGGCCCAACTGCACCAACGAGCATCATGGTTGGTGTTCAAAGTGTAGCTGTTGACAAAGCCATTTGGTGTGGCTTGATAAATGTCTGGTTATAGCTTTCTTATACATTAAAATAAAGCTATAAAATGTTTGTATGCAACCTCCTCACTACCTGTTGATCTGCTGGACATTTTCTGATATGCTATTGAAAGCAGATTATTGTTGATATTTGAAGATTATATGCTTCTGGCTTATTCCATCGTCCCTCTGATCAGAACTTGCCGAGAAGGTTCGGCTTCCGGGTTTCTTCTCGCAATTCTCGAATAAGAAGGAATAAGTTGGCCCAAAAATCCCGAAACAGGCGTCATGTGTCTTACAATTGCCGTTGGTTGCCACCTGAAAATTGACTTCGTACGCAGCGAATTTTCTGCGCTTGCGGCCCATGCTTTCGAAGAATCAATGCTGTTTGATAAGCTGCCAGTAGTACAAATCTTCCAGGCTTATGATAGAATGAAACGGATGGTATTTAGTGTTCTGTATCACGTCAGAAGTTAGAGCCCAATCATTGCGTTTCATCATTTTCAGCTGTAATAACCGCGTACTTATCGTACAGTGGTTGTAGCTGCCAAAGTTTCGTTCACCGATGATTCCAGAAAGTGGGGTAGGTAGCTGCTCATTGAAGGCGGGAGCTGAAAAATTAGTGCATAAGCACAGCACCGTAGGTGGAACGTTGAGTGAGGGGATTGGGAAGGGAGCTATCCATTGAAGGCAATAGCTTGGATGCATGAGCGCCATTGAGGGTGCGACTGGGACGTGTCTGATAATGTCTCTAACCATTGATATGGCCCGTCTCGGGGTCCCCATCCAGGAAGGCGGCAATGACCAGAGCAGCTGAGTTTTCTGGTAATGGCTTTTATACTTCGCTGCTAAGTCATTGTTTAACCGCATCTGGCTCTCTTCCACTCTTCACGTGGTTGTGCGAAAAGAGGAAGTCGGTCGACTGGCATACGCAGCACGTGGCCAGGCCAGCGCAACCTATGCAGTGTGATCAGTTAATCTATCGAGTGTGAGTTATTTTTCCCGAATACCATTCGACGAACTTCTCCATTGCTGATCCGGTGTTCCTACCAGACTCGGGCAATGCTCGGAAGACATTGATGGTGAAAGTCTTTTGACGTCCTCGGTGCGCAGCGGCCAGGTTGTTGATGTAAACTCGACCCTTGACAGAGATGATGTCAAGCCTACGCTACAGGTGACGCAGGTTCACAAAAGCTGTTCCGGCCTTCCCAATCCGGATGGAAATATCATCTTTCGCTAGAGCACTGGGACTGATACAGCTGCCCAGACAAACAAATTTGCCTACTACCTCAATCGGTTCATCCTCAAGCATGAGGCTGGGGTTCGAGCCCACCCAGCCCTGCAGTAGCACTTTACACTTTGCAGGTGTGAAGCGCATGCCGAACCGCGAGGCAGAATTATTTAGATTATTTATTATTGTTTGCATTACCACGGGGTCAGATCCCAGAAGAGCCATGTCATCTGTGTGCTCGATATCTGTGGGTGGGCGCACCGGAAGCACTTCGACCCCACAGGCATTAGAGGCCGGTAGTGAGCCTTCCATGATCGCATCAACGACGAAGTTGAAGAGGGAAGGTGAAAGAGGACAGCCCTGTCGGACACCAATTTAAGTGGTGAACTCCGGCGAGAGCTTACCGTAGACCCGTACACGGCCTCGGGAGTTGGCGTACAGCGCCTTAAGGAGGGTCAATAATTTATGGGAGACACCTTTGCTCCACAGACACTGCAATAATGCCTTACGGTCCACAGTGTCAAAGGCAGCTTTCAGATCAAGAAACAACCATTATTGGCTGCTGTAAGCAGTTTCACTGTTCCACAATTGGTCGAAGGGTGAAGATATGATCGATGCAACCTCTTGCAGGACGGAATCCAGCTTGGTTTTCGAAGGATAAGGCCGGAGAGCACCCTCAATGCCACAGCTAACAGGTTGATGCCACGGTGGTTTTCACATAGCGTCCGCGTACCCTTTTTGAAGATGGGGTTAACCGTCGACATGCTCCATTCTGCAGGCACTTTCTCTTCGTCCCATATAGCACCAATAAGCTTTTCAGGTGGGTCACCAGCGATTTCCCGCCTTCTTTGAAGAGGTTTGGATACAGACCGTCCGGTCCTGGTGCCCTCTCACGTTTTTATTAAGGCTATTCCATACCTTATTTCTTTTTCCGAGGGGCGATCAATGTTTACATTCCATTCGCCCATGTGCATTATCTCCATAGGCTGTGTTGCAGAAGGCCAGCTGAACTGTTCTTCTAAGTGTTCGGCCAATCTTTCCAGTCGACGCTTTCTGCGAGTGAATTAATGAGCCATCTGTTTCACTTATCGTTTCGCATACCGTTGGTTTCCTAGGCACAGTCGATTGTGCCAAAAGTAATGCTCACCAGTAAAACTTAGACTTCTTGGCTTAGCAACTCTAAGTCTCATCATTAAGTATCCCGATTACTCTTATCTAGGCTTGGCTAACGTCAGAGTATTTCAGCTCCGTGTCATCATCGAATGGAAGGAAAGCTAGGCATCGAACGATTTTTTGAGAATCTTCGAAATACCTGATATCAGGCCACGACACGTCTGTGCGAGTATGTTCAAACACCTAGTGCTCTTGCGGGATATCCTCTGTCTGTTGATATGTGTCGGTAGCTTGACGTGTTGGTTGGGAGCTTAAACGACCTGAAAATAGAAATCGTAGTTCAAGCGTTTTACAAAATACCGTGTAGCTGATAATGGCATCCCTGATACTATAACAACCAGCAATTTTTCACAAGTTAACGTTCATTATTATTTAACTTTCTTGCAATAGCTTAAGGTGTTCGTAAAATTCCGATGGCATTGTAAAATAGTTCCATGGGTAGCTACAGGTGGTGTAGTGTAAAACTGTCGTGTACAAGAGCACTGAATTCATTCTTCACAGGCATACAAAAGTCAGTCAACTTAAATCGGGGCCATCGTTTTATGGCATTGTTCTCTTTCTTCTATGTAGTGGACTTTTTTCAGATTACTGCGATGATTTGTCAACATTTGGTGCTCGCATGTATCAAACATCGGAGGTCCACATTTCTTATAGCCTCTCTGAGGACGAACATCAAGCACCACGGTCTAATTACGTTGTGACCGCCCGAACCTACCATTAATCTGCATATCGGAGGTCAGACACAATGTACTACAAACAAGCGCTTCGTTGCGTTGAAATCCAGCAACGATATCAGCTGACTGAGTCACACGAAACTTCCTCGGATCCCAGAACTCCGCCACTTTTCAACCGCCTTACTCGACCTCTTCCGTTTTGTCACCAGCAAAACCAGCAAACTCGTTAACTTATTCAATTTTGACAGCCTAGTTCGTTTCGCCAAGCACTTTTTGAGGTCTCTTTGGTTTCACATGCAAAAGTGATCTGATCTGGGGATTGCTTACATCCCTTGGCGACTGTTGATATGCTTTCAGGGTTTCGCACCTGTCTACCCTAACAGGTTAGTGTTATAATATGCTAAATAGATTCTTTTGTCAACCTAGTACAAAGGCGGCTCAAAACTCTCCCTGAAACTTGGGGATATATCAGTAGGCTTATGAAAATTTAAAAATTTCTCAGACATTTGTGAAACAACAAATACAGGAAACTCTCCAGAGGATTATTCTCGGGTTCACTCATTTTGTCCTCTGGCAAGTACTTATGAATCTACATCCCTCCGAAAAAGGTGAACCCTTGAAAAACCTATTTGATTAGTCAGAATGCTACTCCGATCTTCTCGATCGTATTGTACAATCAATGTGCGATTCCCCGTCGGGACATTTATCCTATTTTGTAACTGATGTTGCAACACCCGGATCACATACTCAACAGCTGAGACGCCTAGCTTGAAGCTTGGGTTTTTGGGGCTTAGTAGCACACAGGAAAAGTAAATTCCATTTAAAGGCCCGAGAAGTTGTGATTTTTAATTCGGGCTGATAACTTTATACCCGTGTAGGAGTGGATTAGTGCTGGGTTCAGTTGAAAGGTTGCTTGAAAACCTCTCTTTTGATGAAGTGTACTGATGCAGCTGCTGGATACGATCGTCGAGGCAATCAGTGGTTTCAAACTGCATACCCTAATTGTCATAATTATTTATCCTACTGAGTAGTGGAAACTTTTTCTATATGCCGTGCCATGAAGGACAACTTCGCTTATTTCCTTCCGTAACCCAAGCTGGTTTTGTGGTTGCTTTCTTAGCTTTTGCTTAGTTCAGAATAGCCCACGTGCAACGAGGGTGGAGAATCATCCCCATAATGGCCTGAGGCCCAGTACAATTTCCGCTACAACACCCTATACACATGTTGTCTTTCTTGAGCACCATGCAGGTAATAAACCTAGCTATATCTATCCCAGTTCACTTCTTCAAGATCACATGAAATGTATTTACCTGGGGTTGTTCGAAGCATAGCTTGTTCAGTTTACGTGCTTGAGGGGGTATTTTCCGCTTCAGTAGGTAGGCCTGTCATACCGTTCTGATGGATCTGGGAAGCAAAGCAACTGTTGATGTTCGTTAAATGAAAGATCTTCCGTTCTAAATCGAGGTAGACCGAGGCAGGAGTTTAAAAAATCCAGTATGTGTAACTATTTATAACGTGTCAGCAGCTACTCATTTTTTAGGCGTCCGACATGTAGATTAGTATAGATTAGTACAGACAGTATAGTAAAGATTAGTATAGTACTTACCGGTCGACCACACCATGACTGAAGTTAGGATCTATCGGATACTGCCGAATCTTCCGCCGATGAAAAAGTTCTTTCGGTTTCAAGATATCATTCGTTGCGCGGAAATGAGATAGTTGTTTGCAGTTTGTTACACCATGCTTGACCCCCTCACAGTTGAGTGCAATAAAGTCTCGTACCATCTCTTGCGAACAAAGCTCGAAACGCTCATCGGGCCAACATAAAGCTTTATACATAATTAACCTGAAATTTACTCGTTACCTTGAGCTACACTGTCGCCCTTCTGGCTTCTGATTCCGTAAGCAAACGATGGTGGTGGAAGGGAACGACAGAATGTATTGCTTTTACCTAGGACCGCCTAGACCAGATTAATCTGTGGAACGATTATTACTCTTTGATGTAAAACGTTGGTTCGCATCTTGGCCCTTTTGTCACCCAAAACGTTCGTGGCTGTGTGCTCCCAACCTCTAGGATTTTTCGGAGGATAGGTCATCCTTCAATTTTAAAAATACGCTTGGCTGTGGCTGCTGGGACACAAGGCATCGATGCGACCAAACAAAGTTGAGTTTATGAACTTATCCGGTCACATTGCCATTTTAATGTTGACTCGCTCGTAAAGAAAAAATTCTGCCTACTGTACATGGTGCTCTGTAATTCCTTACATTCAACTCCGCCCATCCGATGTACACTCAGAAGCTACCAAGGTCTGACTGTCTGCTTGCTTCAACTGAATGACACAGATGGCAGTTGATGCAGTGAGCAATTTTCGCCTACTTTGTGTATGCTTGGCCTTATGGGACGCGAGCCCTTGGCAATAAGGCCACAAGATTCTGAGAAAAGCGGGCTGAGTTGTTGTGGTAATGGGGATGGGACTCAATCGCCTACTGCTATATCTTGAGCATACGTGCCTAGATTTTCTTTCAACTGAAGACACAGATGAACCCCATTGGCAGGTGACGCAGTGAACAATTTTCGCCTACTTTGTGTATGCTTGGCCTTATGGGACGCGAGCCCTTGGCAATAAGGCCACAAGATTCTGAGAAAAGCGGGCTGAGTTGTTGTGGTAATGGGGATGGGACTCAATCGCCTACTGCTATATCTTGAGCATACGTGCCTAGATTTTCTGTTTCTTTCAACACGTTGCTCGGAACTGGCGCAGTGGTATGAGGCTTTCTTTATTTTCAGTTTGCCTACACATTAACTAGTACATTACGAGGCTCTCAGCATGGTAAGTCTAGTGAAGTGGCCCAGACAACACTCAAAACGCGAAAGATTCCGAAGCAGCATAAAGCCAGCGTGCGTATTGTCAAAGGTACAACTAAACGACTGGAAAGCGGCAAGGATGAAGTGTATTATTGTCGACGGAACGGTTAGTATTCACGGACCAAGTGAACAGGTTCGGTCACATCGGCTTCATGCTCAACCAGTTGTGCGCATGAAACGACTAGGACAAGTTAGGAGATAAGCAGGTTACAATTAATTGCTAACTTCTCTTTTGCTGACAGAGCTCGCCTCCCCGATGAGTGCTACTCCGACAGGCACCAAAACAAGCGGTTGATTTGCTTATCTTGGGCCATAGTTTCAGGTTTATCGGTGGGGGGTAGGGAGATGTATTCGCACTGCTTACTCCTGGATGAGGAAAATAGAATGGTCTGAAGTAAGTCGGGTACACTGAAGATTCATTTTAACTCGGTGGTGTTATTATCCGTTGAATCAACAGTTTTGACAAGGAATCTAACTCTAGCCTAGCTACCCCCACGCAACTTTCTGAGCCTCTCCTCCCCGATGAGTGCTACTCCAACAGCCTAGCTACCCCCACGCAACTTTCTGAGTATTCCTGCCTTAAAATTTGTTTGATTAATTATTCCTGTTTCCCCGGCCACGGTGACACTTTTCATTCTCCGGTGGCAGTGTACATACTGAACTCGTTGGAAATTTCCGTGGTCCTCCTTTGCGACTGGTGCTTTCGGTTGGACTACCTTCAAGTTCTCGTGGCACCTGTGACAGATGTTAATGCATCGTCATGTGGCAGTCATAGATATAGGAGGCCATTGATTGGCCTTCGATGAGAACGAGTGTCTACTGGACGGTTTTGGATTTTTTGACTATTTAGGCCGTGATAACTCCCTTTCCCGCGTGTCGTAAGAGGTCAGAATATCTTAGGGTATTCGACATGTAAATTGTACTCTTCGGATTACACGAAACTTACAAATGTGATTAACTGTGCACTACCAGATGAGCGTGTTTTCTGGAAAATTGCCTAATATAACCCTGTGGCTATCCAGGTCATGTTAACTGGCAACAATGCTCGCCATTGCAGTCGGCACCAATGATATGTCAGCTGGTTTCACGTGGTGCGGGTTCTACTTTGGGTATGGAATACCCTTGTTTCTCAAGTTCTGAGAAACAAGACCGGTTCGAAACATTTGAGTAATTCTTATCCCACAACCACTTCAGGCATCTCTTGGTGAGAGGTGATTTCAACGCCCTGGATGGAGATACAAGGCATCAATTCCAGTGAACATTTTGAATCGCCGCTGGCCAAGGTTGTTAAACAAAGCGCCTGGACTCGGAATGTCGTCGCACCCACCGGATAACGCGCAGAGTATCTACCGCCCCTGCTGGTTCGGTTACCACCTAAGTACGGCACTTCAATGATCAAGTGTTGATTATGGCTCCGATTGGAGCCTTAAAGCTCGGCTGACCAGTGTGAACTGATCTCCGATTTTGTCTGCCGCTATGTGAGGAACCCGGAAACTCCAAGTCAGACTTCCCAGAAACGCTTATCTTTTTTAGCAACTCAAAATCAGACTAGCATTATTGGGATCGACATATGGGATCGGTGTCCAGAAAATTTAGGAGGCTGATGCGATATTCGTCTCAGGAGACGAGCGCACAACCGACGGGACCAGAGGCTGCCCAGAAGGAGTGGGCGTTTTCCAGGAGCAAGTTAACCACTATTCTTCAAAAGAATAACCGCAAGGGGCGCAGAAACTGAGCTGGAATTTTGTAAAGAGCGGAACTACTTTAAATCATAAATCCGCTAATGGAACATAGGAAAACAGGCCTCGCCAGAGAAACCAAGTCTACCATTTAAGTTGAGACTTCACCGAAGAAATAAGCCAGCCGTCTTTTTCCTGAGGGACAGGAAAGGGACCATATTGTGATACCTGAAGCCTACATAAACCAATATGCGGGCTCGTATTCCCTCTTGGCGAACGCATCACATCCAATCTTGCTGAAGCGTAACAACGAACATGATCTACTCACTTATCTTTTTAGGAAGGTGAGCGTCAACTCTTGTACAAGGCAAACCATTTCAGAGCACTTCGCTTGAATAAAATTCCTCAAAGGATTTTGAAAGAAATGCCGCCCACACTTTATAGCATTTCTGCCTGATGCATTGTCGGTCGCTTGACGTAGTTAACCATCCCTCTGCCTGGAAGGAGGCGACTGTCATGCTCATCTAACAAACTGGTGACCGCCTATTAGCCGGCAGCTATAGGCCTGTTAGCCTCCCTAGCATACGCAGCAAAAAGATGTATCATGCCTCAATCAGCGTGTTCCCTAGAAGTTGGGGAAGAGACCTATTATTTTACTTACTATTCTGAAGCGGACCATCTTAGTAACCCCAGTACAGACAACCCGCCGTCCACAGCGCGGCAAGGGTTCCTGAACAAACCGTTCTTTCCTGATGAACTTGCTCGCGTTTGTGGACAGCCTAACCCAAGCTACGGTCAAAGGACCCATGATGGATGCCATATTTCATGACTTCCCCGAAGGACTCGAGCGATTCACATGCTTAACGCTGCTCCACAAGCTCAAGAACTACGGGATTTGAGAATACTTCTCACATTGGATTATGGCATTTCTATTGTGCGGGACAGAGTGAGAGTGGGCTGAACTCACTTTTGTTCGGCACCTGTTCTCAAGACCGTGTTTTTGGAGCACACCTGTATCTGATCCAGCTAGACGAACTTCCAGACAGTTTTCATATCCATGCTTACTTTTTGCGGGTGACTTGAAATACTGGAGTACCAATGCCGGGCACTGCAAATGGGTGTAGATGCTGTGAAGCGGTGATCACTAGATGGCTGCCTTTCCCCGAATTAGGAAAAGTGTCCATATGAATTTTAGATTCAAAGCAAATTTGAAAGCACGTGTGTAAGGACACTGGTGCTTTGTGCACATGCAGCCGAACTGCTCCACCTCGCAACGGATAAGCACACAACTTAATCTCATGTCCAGGCATCATAAAAAAGGTTACTCCATGCACTGACGTGTAAACGCACACGCGTGCAAACTTTCTTACATACCCGATTTGCTATCAAAGCCCTCCACCGCAAGTTTAACCAGCTCCATCTTGGTTACATTTGACTGGATTTGGCTCTACTGCTGATTGGCGTAGACATCTTGGAAGATCTGCAACACATTTCGACTTCTCTTGATTTAATTCGGAGTCCACGTGTGTCGTCGAATCAGGTGTTGGTTCGGAATCTCTTCCACGCTTCCTGGTTGCGACATGGTTTTAATGGCGGCGTGTTGTCCTCCCGCTTTCTTACAGCATATCGATAAGGCTATGGTTTTTTGATGTCATTCATCGACACACAAACTTCTTATGTGAAGGTTGAATTTTGACGCGGAATTCCTCGCCGCTTAGCATTGTGTAACGCGTTCATCTATATTTTGCTTCATGGTAGTGCCCTTTCACGACCGTAACTGTTAAATCCGGCCGTGGCAGATTAAAAAGTTTTCAAAGTCTACGTCCTATTGACAAAATCGCAGGGCGCACGGCCCGCTTCATCATGCGGCGAAACTCACTATTCTAATGAAAACTAGTCTAGTCTTGTTTCTAGAGAATGTAAGTTTTGCTTCACCAATCCACTCTTCATTACCATATAGAATTCAGCTAAGCCGTTTTTAATCTCGTTGGTCTTCAAAAATCAGTTGAACTGGTGAACGCCATGCCATTATTGGAGACAACCGTATCGGGTACGCCACGCGATACAAAACAGTTGATTAAAGTGGATATGGCCGGCACACCAGAGGCACTTCTTGTAAGCACCTCTTCTTTTTACTTGAAATATGCATGAACAATTACGTGAATCATGTAGACACCAACCGGACCACAATGGTTCAAATGCGTGTGGATTTGCAGTCGAGCTGACCACTGCCATATTAATATGAAGGCCGATGCTGGCAAAGCCCTATTTTATAAGCATGCATCACATTGGTGTTCCATCGGTTTGACACCGAGATCACGTGCAGTCGAGCTGGCCACTGCCATGTTAATACGAAGGCCGATGCTGGCAAAGCATGCATCACATCGGTGTTCCATCGGTTTGACACCGAGATCACCACGAGACCACGAGACATAATCTCGGGCTAAAGCCTTCATTTGAGTGTTATCTGAATGACCTGAATATAGTTCCCTTAAAGTTCATAAGCAGTGGCATCCCAAAATTATCACTTTCACAACCCTTAGCAAAACATTCTTCTTCTGTACTTGGATGTGAGGATCTCTCCCGAAATCCTGTCGGTGTAAACGCAACGTTCTTCACCCATCAATCTGAAGCATCCGTGAGAGGTCTATATTTTTTCTTGTTTTTTCTCTTATTCTTGCGGCAGTGATAGACGTACCATCAAAATACTCACTAGATCCACTAACTCGACTGGATGCGGCGTGTACAATGGCACATTCCTTAGAAGTAGGCAACTCATGGCATCCGCATTGTGATTTACGAAGCAGATTTAGGAAGAAACACACGAATTGCATGCCTCCATCAGTGGTACCAACCGTTACACCAATGGCATGCAATTTCAACGGCCCAGGTTTGTGCTCTTTGTGACGTCAGTCGAGTTGCTGGTTTATTATCTCCAAGGCTAGCAGTAAGGGGCTTTTGTCCATGTATGTGTCGAGCATTTCCCAGAAAGGCAGTGTCACCCTGAACAAAGTCGCTGACGCTTCTTTGTTGATTTGTGGGCGATCCTCTTCGGCAGGCGACAAAGATTGTGAAGCATAGGCAATTGGCTTAAGTATTCCCCAATCCATTCCCCTGTGGTCACATGGCTCCCCCATTATATGCTCAGCAATCATGGAGTTATTCGGTACACCTTCACCCGTATTACTCGCACGGCTTTTCAGCAGCTCTATAGGACCTTCGGCAGGCTGCTTCCTGGATACGCAAAAACGTGGTTGACTCTGGACTGGGGAGCAAACTAACCCTCATTTAAGGTGTCCAACGAGCTGCTACGAAAATTGTTGCCGGTCCCAAAAGTGTAGAGCAAACAAACGTACGTAGCCTATCTTACAGGGTGGAATTTTTATTGTTCTTTAGGGTATTTTATTCTTAATGAACACCGAAGAACGCTAAAATATGATGAAGTGCGATTTCGCGTCCTATCTTGTGTAAACCGGTAACAATATGCGAATCGATGATAGTCCGTGACCCTGACAGTTCGCCTACTTAAACAAAATGCTACCAGCAACACGTCACCGGAAGGTGCAAATTGATTGGACGACCTCCCCTCTTGTAGTCGCAACCTCGAAAACCCTATAGTTTTGGTGAAAATAATTTGGGTGTGCTTCTAGGTAGCAGCCCACTGTAGTAGGGTGTCTGCCATTTCGGTCGATTTATATGTTAGTGCCAGTGGCGCGCAACCTTGCTAAGTGAGCTTCGGTTCATGAGCTTCTGTTCCGTTTTATATCCATAAAAATAGTCGTAAACCCCTCCTTAAAAGAATTACTGATCCTCGATGCTATAGTTGCGTGAGTCCACACCATGGATTTAGATGCGATGGCGTTTCTTACAGGGCCATCCACATTTTGATTTTGAGTTGGTAAACGGTGAAAATGTACATTGGGAACTAATTTCCTGGTGACGGTAATGAATGCGTGTATAAAGGTGGTTACTTGGAGCAGCCAATCTCGAGGTTTGAAAACGCCGAATTTGGCATGCGTGCATTTGAGCAAACGATTCAACAAAAAATTTAAACACTGGAATAACACTACCGCATTTTTTCGTCCACAAGCACAAGGCGAGATAATGAATGTGTGTATAAAGGTGGTTACTTGGAGCAGCTATTCTCGAGGTTTGAAAACGCAGAATTTGGCATTCGTGCAGTTGAGCAAACGATCCAACAAAAATTTAAATACTGGAATAACACTACCGCATTTTTTCGTCCACAAGCACAAGGCGAGCACCAGAAATCGCCATAAACTCATGGAACCACAGAAGTTCTCGCAAAGTCCCTAGATTGTAAATAATTCACGTTTTACCGCAAGTCCCTATATGTTGTTTCATCAGGAAATGTCTTCTAATTCAAGGTTATTGACGACCCTGATGATTTGCTCACGTATGCAAACGAGTTTTACGAAGAATCTGCAGGAAAACCCATCACACGTTATGTATTTCTTACTGTAAAAACCTAGGGGGTTAAAAAAAATCAATTCCTCCCGCCTAATACGAGTGGCGACCGCTTGTAACCGGAGAATTTGGAGATCGTTCGATTGCCAAAAGTATTGACGGCCCATGGTGAGTAAGCAACTGGTGGTTCGGTTTCTTTGTGACAGAAAATGTCCTCCTTCCCGATCAATCAATGAGATATTTTTGGTGACTGCGTCGGCGTCGCATTCCATTTTGAGACATCTATGTTACAGTTCAAGAGGCTTCAATATATCCCTAATCGAACCAGCATGTTTCTAGTACATCCCTCACGTGCTTCTAGGCGGTTGACACTTGAGTTGGTGGATTCACATGTTCCTCTTGTAAGGCTGTTTGGTCCTTTGTGCCCACTTGCTCACAGTGTTTTAAGACTCCATCTCAAGGGGTGAGAAACCCCATTGGAATTTTCTTCGATGTTTTTCCCTTGCCGACCAGCCTGCCAAACCATAACCCTTTGGAGCAAGGGACAGTGCTTAGGATCTTCTTATAGCCAACGTCATTAACTTTCGACGGCCTTCTGAAACAGGCTACCGGGGTGGCAGACGCAAAGCAGCTTACTTAAACCTTGAAATTCACAAGCGATACAGAGTAGTGGATTGTTCAGAAGCGAGACCCGCTGCGCCGCCATGGCGACCCACCTTTGGTGATTGAAGATAGTGGTCCTCAGCGTACGTAGAGGTGTAAACAGAAAGTTGTTTCTATGCGGGCCCTGTGACGCGCCAGATTGTCCACTTTGCCGCTGGTATCCAATAGATGGCTTACCTTATCTTGCTGTCTGTTGCGGCGATAAGCCGCAAGCTAGTCGTTCGCCTCAGATTGGCTAGCTTAATTTTGTAGCATGGGCAAGGATAGCTTCACTCAGCAACTCAAACTAACTGCTCGTGAATTTCCTTGATTTACGTCGCGTTTTAATCATTGACGTTGTGCCCAGTATCTCATGGTGTTCATGATGAGCTTATTCACCCATAATATCAAATCGTGAGAACCACCGGGTTTCAACCGGTGGAGGCCCCGTATTTAACGCCATCCGTAATGGGGAAAAGTCCTGTCAGCAAACATAACATTGAAGGATCGAGAGCGATTTCAATGTTTGCCAGAGGAAACTCAACGTACGAGCAAAGTTCATGGGCCTCTTATCAATGTGGCTGAATACTGTGGAAATAAAATATAGTCTGGAAATATTCTAAACTCGTGCGAATCACCGGAGTTTGGTGAGCATTTTCACTACGATGGCTACATTAAATAAGGCTTCTTGGTTTACGAAGACGGAAGCTCCCGTAGCGGCATAATCACACAGGAATCACTTGATACAGATGTTTTTTCATCACCAGCGTTTCTTTTGCATATTTGTTCTCAGCAAGTGTACAGCAGACTAAAGCAAATATCACAAATTGTTACAGCCACACGAGACGTGCAAAACTTGCCCAGCTTTAGCGGATCACACTTTCCGGTAAGTGGATTCACTTTTCTTAAATACCCTTTCCTGATTCGGTTAATTTATCGACCCCTGGAAATAGATTACTTAAACAAATAGTTCGCATCAATTTGACAAATAAATCGCATTAGGAATACACGTTTTTGCCCATGAAGTAATAACCTCCAAAATTTTCAGTTTCCGAGACATCCTTCTAATTTACTGGTTACTGATAGTATTCTTTACATTACGGCCTACTGGTTGTGCATCACCATGGACACCGTGACCGAAAAAATCCTGGTGGGCGAAGGCTACATTCCATGGAGTGGAGTGACTACGTATACGTCGTTCTTCGTTGTGAAGTAGTTGGTACAGCTGCCCTAATAGTTTTGGGACTAAAATGGTAAGGTAGATCTACGCTAGCCATCGTAAAGTTTATTTCGCCGGGCTTTTTTTGGAAAGGATGAGAATGCTTTTTTGTTGTCTTTGCATCGTTGATTTGGCTGGCTTGTCGGCTTTTTACAGGGACTGCCAGGCAGAAATCCCTGGATAGCCACTTCCTTAGAAAGCCTCTTGGTTTCCGTCATTCATTCATTCTTTCTCAACTTCTTATGTGTCAAGAATAGGGCCGGAATGTTTTTTACAGACTGCCATGTTCCTTTCAACACGACTTTTGATATCCAACACTCGGGTTGCATCAAACAACCCTTCATAATTGCGCTCACGGAGTCGTCTCACACTTGAATTCTCCTATGTTTATGGCTGACTGACACTCAATTTTTCGGACTAACTCAATACACATAGGGAAGCTTTCGGCGTTTTTCATAGTAAATAACAACCTTCCATTCTCAGTTGTTCTCTGACGTTACGTCTGCGTCCCTTAGGGTGCGCTATGGATTCGAAATTTTCTACGCAGTGGAGGCTCTCTTGTTTTTTGCCTCGTTAGCGATTGCCAATTAAGTCAACAAGAAACCGGTCTGTTCTCCATGCAAATCTCTCCAAGGCACCAATTTGGTCTCTTGCTGGAGGGTGACTTTTACAACCCGAGGGTTTTCCGGGGGAATCATTGGCACGTTGGCTCTAGCAGACATTTAGCACTGGCTCTGATTCAGGGTTTGGTCTCTTGCTGGAGGGTAACTTTTACACCCCGAGGGTTTTCCAGGGGAATCATTGGCACGTTGGCTCTGGCAGACATTTAGCACTGGCTCTGATTCAGGTCATGCAAAAGAGCGCTTGAGCTCAGAGTGTCGACGGACCTACCAGATATTTCGCAGGCCCTGTGCAAGGTTTACTGGGCATAGTTATCACCACTGTAAGACACTTCTCGAAGAAAGTGCCAATTGAAGTTCGTATGTGATACAATGTACACTGCGGCCAGCGGCTAGACGCACAATGCAATTTTCTGCAAAACCCCTACAATGTACCGGCCAGCGGCTAGACGCACAATGCAATTTTCTGCAAAACCCCTGCGGGCGAAATGAAAACTTTAACGTCAAAATGTTGCTTGCATTTGCATATATGCGTAGCGGAAGTGGCTTGAGAAATTTTTGGGTGTATCGTTTTCATCCTTCATGGTATTTGAGAAGACCTTGAATGAATACATGACGAATAACTTTACTTTATTGCGTTCATCCAGTAATCGAAGCACCAACGCTATTTTGCGTTACGAATGGGTGTACTAGAAATGCAGCAGGCGCCCTCCAAGACCAACGGAAAGCCGTGGAATCCGATGAGGCTAGTAAGCCGGGCGTATTTTATAATAAAAAAGTACGCGAAGCACCAGCTGTCCAATGCGGTTTTGTCTACGGAGGCAAAGGAACCAACTGACAGTGACCTCATATTTTCTGGGACACAACCACAAACTGTCAAAGTTTCTGTACGATCGGCTTCCAGTCAATCGACGCCTAACCGAAGAGGAGTTTGGCACATGCAAGGCCCTGTTGAGATATGGAACGCCGTCATCTGAGGTGCGGCAGTTTGGACAGATTCTTACCACTAAGAATATACCCAACTACCGCCGGAAGTGTCGGTTAGGCATCGTGTAGCCCTGGCCGCATGTTAGTGGTGTGCGTCGGTTAAGATCGTTCAGCTATCTGGTATTATCGACGTAGGCTCAATGTGGCTAGTTAGTTAGGCATCGCGTACCCCTAACCGCATGTTAGTGGTGTGCGTCGGTTAAGATCGATGAAC